GATGAAGAATCTGTTCAGTCGCAACATTTGGAATAAGATACAGAAGACGCTGTGGCACCTGGTGGACTTAACCTTCCAGGCAGTGACTAGTCTACTAAGGACTAACTAACGAAGAAAAGGCACAATAAAATATTTTTTTAGGAGTTTAGCTAGGGTATGCAGAGCAGTATACCTTGCTTGCCTTGATGGTCTGCCGCTGTTGTATTGTCAGATAAATTTCTGACTTTCCTGACCTATTTGGTTTTTGGACCATCATCTTTTCATGTCGTTTTTATAACTATAAAGCCAGGCATTCACTGCGGCTAATGGTCATGGAGATTCTATGGAGACAGGCGCGCAACGAATAATAAATTTAAACAGTAGAATGACAGACACCAAAGCGCAGAATCGTATGACCAGTCTCTGATTTGATGACGTTTTCCTCCATAATTGAAAAAAGAAGGGCGCCGTGTGCGTCTGGATATACTTAGCAACTGAAGGGCGCCCTATACGTCTGAACCAGGTATAGAAAACTTGCACTATAAAAAGAGAAGGGCGCCACGTACGTCTGGACCAACTTCCGCCTCATTTTTGCTATGCGAGTGCTCTATCTTGTATTTCTAGTATCTTTGGTAATATTTAAAATACCACTAAATAGGATTGAAAAATATGACAATTTAGGGTTTCACTGGTCAGAGGATTACAACAGTATTTAAATTGATATTATAGGCCTAGATAGTATGGTATTACAGCAACTGAGAAAGACTGTCATACTCGAAAAAGAAAATTACAAAAAAAAATTATAAAATAACATAAACAGGAAGTTAAGTTAGCAGCAGAAAAAAATAATTGGCAGGAAAGAGAAACTAATTGTTCTTTTTACTTGGCTTAAACTTACACAATTTCTCAAAAAATGCATGTCCGGTTTGACATTTATTAAGTTCCTAATAACCATTAAGAATGTATTTCAGCGAGCAAAACATTTCAGCATAAAGGTGAAGCACCGAAGGTGGGAGTTAGCATTAAAGAGACTCACTTTGCACAAAAATTCACTGGATAGAAGTGATTTAATTGGAAGCAATCTACAAATGTCAATTTTATCTAAGATCACTTAAGATGATCAAAACAAGATTTATATGAAAAAAAATTGTTTTTCTCATCCAAGAGTGAATGAGTGGCCAACTTCAAGTTTGAATAAACTGTGATGCCCTCAAAACCCAGATACAGCTCTAACTAGACTATCAACTTTTATGAGACAAATCTGTGTAAATTACCAATATATAGGCATGACAGGTCATCACATCCATATTTGGATATGATAATGTCATACCATACCCATATATGGGCAAATCACAGGTAGTAATTGTTATTGTCATGATGGAATAGACAACTGGATTTGCGTCAGGACAATCATGTATAGGTGTAGTTTTGATTAAAATTTTATATTGAGGGTGCTTGTTGGACATTCGGATCATCAGAATAGAAAGTAATATTGGTATTGAGACTTAATAAATTCAGGCCTGGAAAAAAAAATGTTTACAGTGCCTCCGACCATGAAAGTTGTCTTGATAAAATGCCTGCAGCACAAAATGTTATCAGTACACATAGCCCAACAGTTTATTTTTTTGAAATTTTTTCCCAAAAATGCCTCCTGGACATTCATGTTGCCTCCGACCGCTGGCCATGCACTTTTTCTATGCGCTTAAATTATCAGACAAATTAAGTAATTATTGTACAGTAATGATCCAAGTTCAAGGCTTTGAGGAACACCGAATGACTTAGAAAAACATTTTACATTTTTTCCCCTTCTGGTTTAGGCTGAAGGCAAAGGATATGGCAAGCAGCAAACTTAATCACTATTCAAACTGGAATATCTTGATCACCAAGTTATTCAACTCCACATTCACAACACATTTTCAACTTATGTAGTTGACTTGTTTTATATTTTAGCCAGCCTAATATGTTAACCACATATTTGTTAACACGTACTAGAAGATTTAAAACTTCCGAATCATGTTTTGACTAACCAGAATTATCAGTGTTCTCCCCAGGCCCTTGAAGCATCACGGTACCGTGACGTTTGGGACTTCGTCACGGTGCACCGTGACGCTCCCAAGCTGGCCGTGACGCTTGATGCGTCTTCCATGACGCTTTAAAATATCGTCAAGAAAATAATTCAAAATAAACAATGCTGTCCACGTATCCTAGTTTGAAGAAGAGTGAGTGTGAAAATATTTTAAAACACAAAACAATGCTATCTTACAATGTTGGTTTATCTGCCCAAGTTCATGCTTGATCTTTCTGCATTCATTTTTGCGTTATTCTTTACCTTGAGAAATGTCACTTTCATTTTAAAACACGATCGTTAGCTTGATTCACACAAACTGTTTGCTTCAAAACTGCCCATGCGCATGCCCAGAACGATCTATCTGGATTTTTCTCTCACCACATGTACTTCTCTTGACAGCGAAGTCACAACGTGATCGTGTTTGTGTTTAAACAATTAGGCCTAGGCAATAGGCCCTATGTTGAATTTGGTTGGATTTTTTTTATAATAAACAACGTTTTTAATATAATACTACTTTACAATGAAGACAAGTAAGTTTAGATAAGTTTTAGTCAATCTAGGCAGCCTACATGGCCGATGTTTTGTTTAGCTATCTTGCTAGGCCTAGCCTAGGCCAAGCAGTTTGAAGCTAAAATTTAGGCCTAGGCCTAAACTAGCTTGGTCCAAAATGCCTGACCCTCATCCTGGTGAGAACACTGATTATGAACTACTAGAAAAATGAAAAAAATAAATTTTCATATAACATTCGATTTCCAAAAAATATTGGGTTATGCAACCTAATACGAGATGAGGTGCAACATGATATATTTTGCAGTGTAGAATCCCAATTGTGCTAGATTCTTGATTCCATAAAGCAACATTAAAATCCGATTCTGAATCATAAAAAATAGGAAGTTATTGACATTAAAGTGATGGTATTAATACGTGTCTTGACTTTATTGAACCATAAAGCTAAACACTAAAAACCACTGAGGCAAACACAAGATGAAGTATTTAATACCAAGTTTCACAACAGACGCTTACAAAGATTATAAGAGTGTTTTAAAGTCATTGACTTATTCAAAAATTCCTAGTATTTCACATTCAAGCTTCCTACTTCGGAACTACAAGAGAAATATGATATTGACATGTGTGATCACAGCAACTTATAAACACAACACGACTCAGTTCGCTGAATGAGGCTGTAGTGATGACAGAAAAAGCTATGATAACAGCAAAAATCTAGTTTCTGAAAAGGTAACTCAAAGGATGGTAAGGTAGTTAAAGGTATAGACCTGAGTGCCCATCTGTCTTTAGTGCTTGGGTCAGAATGTGCAATGGAGTGAGGATTTCGCCACTCCTCTTCACAGTGAATCTGTTTTACCTTCCCATCATATGCCGGTACCCATTTATACTCCTGAGTAGAGAGAAACAAACGTAGGAAAAGTTTCTTGCCCAAGGACAACAGCAAAACACATACTACAGAAATCACAAAACGTGATGAGGTACTATACAACCTGTTTACACACATTGTAGTAATAATGACATGAAGTATACAGTATCAGAATATATTTTCCACAACTGTGTCTTTACAGTATGTGTGAATGTTTATAATCCTTATCAAATTATAAGTGTAAAATCGTTTTATTGTATTAGCTTGTGATGTGATCATACTATTTTGATCACAACAAAACCTGAAAATATAATTTGATTATAAAATTTTTGATCATAACCTGTGAACACATGTACATTTGTGATCACAGGCTGTGGTAATGATTATTATTATTATTATTATTATTATTATTATTATTATTATTGTTATTATTATTATTATTATTATATTATTGATTTTAACCACACATGATCACATTCTATGAAATGAAACTTGAGGTAATGACAAGTGACCACAAAAAAATGATCACAAGATGCAAAATACATCTGTGATCACAATCTGTGAAATAAAACTTTTAATAAAAAATGACAGCATTTAACCACAATATGTCAATATTACTTATGATTACACCATGTATATTGCAACTTGTGATAAGAACATTAGATCACAAAATGTAAATATCAATTGTGATCATTCTGTGAAATGTAACTAGTGATAACAACCAGTGATCACAAAATTTAATTACAACCTGTCAATATCACTTATGATTACACCAGGTGAATTGCAACTTGTGATAACAACATTAGATCACAAAAATGTATAATTGTGATCATTCTGTGAAATGTAACTAGTGATAACAACCAGTGATCACAAAATTTAATCACAACCTGTCAATACCACTTATGATACAATTGCAACTTGTGATAATGGCCATGTCACACTATGACGATTTAGCCAGCGTATGGTGACGTATCAAAATTTCTCTAAAACACTGGCATATTCTGAACTATTGATGTTTTTTTTTTAATTTCAGGCATACATATAGCATATTCATAACGAGTTGGATGCATAAATAACGTATTACTAACTTATATAGAACATTTTGATAACTTACAGATAACTTATACCTTGATGCTTAGCGTGCTGCCGGTGTTCACAGCTTATGCCCTACGATAGTCAAACTTACGCACAGTGCACGGCAGCATATTGCCAATGATCACATAATGTAGCATATAAAAAGACTGCCACTCGTCGATTCAAATCATAACCGCACTAGGCATCACAATCAACATCATTGTCGCAGTATCAATACTACGATACTAACATCACCCCATGTTTAATTCCCCTTAGAAACTCAGTAAGTTCTGTGGTTGTCCGGAACACACAAAATGTTATCACAACCTGGATAAACCACTTGTGACCGCCTTCTGTAAAAAGTAATTTGTACTATCTGTGGGCATAACAACTGATCATAACCTTTGATTATTACAAACACATAATGTAAAGCTCCAATATTTAAGGATGCAATTTTAACAGATGACTAATTTAAACTAAATATATAAATTATATTTGTTTACTTACCTTTATGTTAAGACTGCAAATGCTGATGTTGTCCCCATCATCCTTCTTCTTCCAGCGACTCTTAGATGGCTAAGAAAAGAACTAACTACTTATAGCATCATTCATCATTTTCATAATTTTCAAGAGAGCACAAACATATTTTGTGCCAATGGGCCAGAAAAGAATGGGAAAGAGGTAATCATAAAAATGTGTAATGTGATCTAGCCCAGGGCAGATTACAGTGGACAACAGAGTGTGACTGATGGTATAAATAACATAATAAGATAATTGTTGGCGATTTTTATAGTGCATACTACATGGTCTCTATGTACAGTAATGGTAAAGATGTAATAAATGGGACAGGAACAGAACGCGTGTTTTGAGTCTTTACTTGAAAACAGAACAGCACTGGGACTCACGAATGGCTACTGGGTTCAGAGTCAAAACAGGGAATGATCTTTCCCACTGTTTTTAGGTGAGATGACGGGCAGAAGAGTGGTGCATTTTGAAGTAGATCTGAGTTCCCAAGTATACATCTAAGAATGCCATTTAATAAGATCAGTTATGTATTTGGGTAGAGCACCATACAATGATTTGTAAGCAAAATGGAGGACTTTGAAGGTGATGTGTGTTTGACCAATGAAGCTGACATATTTAAGGAATGGGTAAACTTATCACTTAACAGTGAAAATGGTACTTCCTTACCTTAATGTTAAGACTGCAAATGCTGATGTCATCACCATCGCTTCTTCTTTTTCTGTTTCGAGACAATGTCTAACGAAGAAGAGAAATATTTTAAAATAATTAAAGTATTTTTTTAAAAAACATAAATATAAACAATATAACTACTGTATGCAACAATATGAACCAATATATGCATTCTTTATGCACTGGGCCCGAGGTTGATATAGATTTTATATGGAAACATACAACATGAATGTCAGTGTATTGTGTGGTGTGACAGATTGAAAAAATTAAGACAGTGCATTCCAAAAGATATTCTGATGAACTCTACAGTTACAAACAAAATGAAAGAAAACAGCACTGAAAGAAACTACCAGAGGGTACAGAAAAAATCAATATCATACCCCATATTGGAAATTCATGGTAGTGCCATCTTCTTGCTTGGCCTTCTTCTGAAATTAAAGTTATATACATAAAACTACTTATGCAATTATTAATATTCAAAAGACCTTTTCTGAGATTCTAACTTGGTTTAAATGTGTGTGGATATATCATGGTGATCTGGTGTAACTAGAGCCATGATTAGTGCTATTTCATAAGTAGGCATAAGATCTGGGTTTGTATTATATTATTATCATATTATATAATCCTAGGTTAACAGATCTGAGCAATTGATTTGTATGAAGTTTGAGATTAAAACACCATTACATCATGTTTCATAAGGGACAGGGCTATATCATCCAATGAAAAAGTGAGTAGCCAAACCTGGTGGTTAATTTGTGATGGACTATCACAAATGTCAAGCTGATCATCCCTCTTTCTTTTTCGCTCCTAAAAAGACAAGAAGACATCCATATTGTCTGTTTTCTAAATAAAACATATAACTATTATCATTATCATCATCAACATCTTCCTTTTCATCATCATAATTATCAAAATTTTCAATATTTATCATTATAAATTCTTTCCATCATTTGTTTCAACTATTATATTATCATCTTGTGCTATTGTGCTGTAGGCCTATGTATGTGTTTCTATTTATTGGCATACACTGTATTCCAGAAGATTATTTATTATTTTGATAATTTGGATTTGTGATAAATATTATTACGATATTAAAACATAGATTTTAAAATTTTTATCTCTTAGTTTTTGGTGAATTTTGTATTAACTCTACACACTGTATGGCATGAAAAAATGCTCAACAAAAAAACTGTACTCAAAGGTGAGTACAAATCTAACACACGGAGTAATAATTTCCAAAACAAATTTTAAAGAGTCTGTGAAAGTATACCCTTAGTTCCATGCTGTGTAAACTAGGGCTAAGTTTCTTAAAACCCTCAAAACTTTTCTGTTTCAACTTTGAATTTTTGTTTTCTTCTGCCTTTTGTAACTCTGCTTCTTGTTGTTTGTGAACGTCTTGTTGCCATTGGTAATGCTCTTCCCTCCTCTTCTTCATATACTCCAATCTGTCCTTCCTTTTGTTTTCATCTTTAGCTTTTTTCTTTTTCCTTGGCTTTTAGAATTGAAGAGAATTAAAGTGGACAATTATTTACCAAATAAAAAATACTTATGGAATGAGGAAAACAATAACAATAACTCCATTCTTTTATAGCACATTCCGCAGAAAAAAAAGCCTCAACACACTTTACAATAAAAAAAAAAAACAAGGAGTAAATAATTTTGACTTTAACTAAAAACAATTCTGAAGTGCATGTGCATTATCGGTATAAGTGTCCAGAACAGGGCTCCACCCACCGATGTCGAAACAACATTGCTATCACACCCGGGTGCATGCAGGCAGTCTGTTAAGTAGTACGCTGGGCTCCAGTAGCTTCCACCTCCGAATAAGCCCTCGGCTCTACTACCGTGCACAGCAAAACAACGATGTCTCAAGTAAGGAACATACAAAAAAATATTCTTAGGGGGCATGTGACCTACGAAGCCAAAAATATAGGCTTTTATACGAAATTTTTATTATCTGAGTTTCAATGGACACCGAAAATAAAATACTAAGAAGTCTTGCCCTATACAGTAGTATACTCTTTAATAATCACTACTCTTCAGCTCCAACATATAGCATGCTTACTGGAGGTACAGGAGGAGAAGCATTTGTTTCATTGTTTTCCACTGGAATACTGGGCAAGGATGAGCGAGAACTTCTCGAGGTGATTGACCATAATGATGATCTTGATGATGAGGATTTCAGTGAAGTTTTTGAACTCTTTTTAGACATTGGTGCCATAGATAGTACTATACGTTAGACAAAAACAGACAGGCTCAAAGACTGTAAAAGAAGAATATTACCAAGGTAAAAAAAAAATTATCCTTTGCATCGTATTAAGCTTGCATAACATTAGTCATTATAGGCTTACAATACAATTGCTAACCAACTTTTGGGCTTAGAAATTCATATTCCCCAGTGGTAACGTTCTGTATTGCATCACACTCCGGTGGTCTCACGCAGTGAGTGGTCCCAGCCCAGTGGTGTAGGCTAGTAGTAGTAGTAGTATGACCCATTCTCTATACTGTATACATACTTATTTATATTATATAGGCCTAGACTAGCCTATAGGCTAGTAAATAGAGAAATTGCAATTTTTGGGTGTCAATTATTGAATTGATGACTGAATTTTTATAATCCTTAACTCTTAGTGACTTTCTCAATTCAATGTGCACTTTTCCTAAAATTTCTGGCAGGCTAGGCCTAGGCCGAGACAGGCCCAACCCATTCTCTCTGAAGAGCCATGACATTGGCAGAAGTACGGAGCCTGACTGAGAAAATGATAATAAGCACACACACACACGCCTTCATATTTGTTCATCATCATCAGGCAGGGAGGGAGGCCCAGCAATCTACAAAACTCATCTCCCTGTCTCTGATCCTAGATCAAACTCAATTAAATCATGAGGTAGTACTGTCCTTACCAAGATAAAAAAAAACAATGGTTAAATAACAAAATATTTGATTCCTCCTTGAAATCTGTAATCCGGATCAATATGACCTTCTTAAGAATCAAAACTTCCGCAATCAAACGGTGCTCTCGTTTTTATCCAATCAGAATCAGATAATATTGACCCAGGTCAAATTTTACCGTAACCGTTAAACTGCGCAAGCGCATTGTGAAGGACGCCATCCGCCGGTTTTTTAAATGGAATGTTTTGTTGTGTGTTTACATGATTTTAAGAAAAGCGTTTTGGTTAGTTTAAGTCGAAAGTTTGGTTTTATTTTTTACTATGTGATATAAAAATTGTACAAAATAGTATGCCTGCAATAAGGGTAAGTTATCTGAAGGATATTGTAATATTGCATGTTGCCCATTTTATACTTCAACCAGGAACGTTCCTATAAAAATACTAAAAATAGAATAGGCCTAGCGTAGCCGAGGCCTGATATATATAGGCCTATGCCTAGGCTAGGCTAGGGCGTAGCCTAGTCAAGCCAGCAGTAAGCCTAGCCTAGGCGTAGTAGGCCTGGCTAGCAAGCCTAGGCTAGCTCTTCTTGTCAGGCGTAGGCATACATAAAAAGTGTAAAATCAGGAATTGATTGTCACATTTAATTGATTGATTGAACTTGATTTTAACTTTTGTTGGTGGGGGCGGGGAGTGGGGCAGACAGGTTCTAGGTCTGAGTTTGGGAGAGGGATTCCTGTCCCATTTACTTAGATAGTAGGGATTCTAGTGTTCACAGTTACCCCATTCATTTACAGGCAGGAAATTATTTATTTTATTATTTTTATTTATCGTTTAGGCCCTATATAAATCACAATGAAAATTTAAATTTCAATTAAAATGTATATGTCATTACCGTGACAAAATTTAAACTTTCTCACTGGTACCAACTGTGACAAAAATAGACACATGTCAAAACAATGAAAAGTCAACAACAACAACAACAACAAAAATTCTGACAAGGACTAATTAACTCGACATTTAAACTCAAACAATCATGAAACAAATCAGCTAAACAAATTTTTAGCAGAACATTTGACACGAAAATGTTCATACATATAGATAGACAAGTTCAAATAAAACAATTTGGATGGTACTTTCTTGACAGTGGCAAATGTTTTCCATTCTTAAACGAATTCCTAATTCTAATTGGATGTTATTCTATGTATGTATTGCATTAGGATAGTGTAAAGACTGTAAAAATAGAAAATGCCTATTTTATTCAACAAATTAACGTTAACAATCAATCAGTTACTATAAGCATTGAACTCCTGGCATTATATTTAAACTGGGCCACGGTATGTACTACTAGAAATTATCATTCAAAACATTTTGTGGTGCTAAAATGTACGACTAAAGTAATATTTTTTTTCCATTGTTAGCCAAGTGGAACAGTGCATTCTTATAACATAATTCTGATTCTGTGTTGTTTATAAAATTTAAATTAAAGAATAAAAATTATCCCTCCTAATCCCTCCTTCCATGAAATCTATAAGGTTTGTTATGTATGATGTCCAGAGCACCTTTTAAAGATAGCGATTAGCTCTGGGTGTGCAGACCTAATTTTAACCTGAAAATTTGCAGTTAAAATAACATGAAAATCTTAGCTCATGTTTTTTTACAGAATTTTTCATGTTTTATTGTACAGTATTTTGCCTGAGTTTAATATCCAACTTTTTTTAGCCACATTCCGAGTACAAGAAAAAATTCCGCTGGCATGATTCTGTCAAATCTGCATCATTCAGCCCAACCAAGCAGCAGTCAGCCGTCACAGCAGGACTATCATCCTTTGATGCTGGTATTATTATGATTTTATTTATTTACTACTGGTCAATTAAAAAAAAAAGTTCTTTCTCATCTTTTTGAAAAACTTAAAAGGATGGCCTATTAACTTGTTTTTTATTGGCCGTTGCCCTTTTCAAGTTTTTAAATTCTAGTAGTGTAAAAATATAAAGTTAATGGTTTCTCATATATTTACACCACAGGTAGGCAAAGAGCGGCCCGCCGGCCGAATGTGGCGTGATGGCATTTTTTGCGGCCCGTGAAAACCCTATATTGTGCAGCACACCTACCATCTTTAGCGAGAAAACCCTTTGTTTTTACGGCCCAACACTGATTATCTGTAGAAATTAATATATATCAAAACTCAGCATAAAGTAGTATAATAGCTGTGCATAAAGGTTTTTCTAGAAGTTCAGTTTTGGCCCTCAGTGTTCAATCAAAAATTCACTTTGGGCCCTCCCCCCAATCCATTTTTATACCCACCCTTGATTTACTCATTCCAGCAAAATTCACTAGTCCTTAGCATATGTTGAACCAAAAAATGGTATATGTGTGTCTGGGTAAGTGTATGTGGGTGTGGCTTTTTTAAAGTAGACTTCCGATGACAGCAAAACAGGAAGGGGTGGGGACAAGGATGTGGAAGTATCGCATCAAAAGTAGCACCACACTTCTCATCTGATTTTATTTGTTACCTCGTCTGATATTTTTTTTATTGCCTAGTGATCTAGTAATTTTTTAGTAGATTGTTAACAAATACTCTGCATTACTCTTTGTAAAACTTGAGATCATTATTGTTATTGTTATTTTATTATTTCATAATAATTATTCTATCAGCAAAAACGTATTCGAATATCAGGGAACCAGCTTTACAGCATAAGAAACAGACAATCAATGCCCCAAGGCTGACAAACATCACAAGCCAGGACTTCGGCAACATCTCACCAGAAGAATATAATGATTCTGTTAAAGACCATCCAGTGCCACTGAAACCATCATTGCGACAAACCTCTAAAGGTGATGAACCTAGAAAATTTACCAATGGGGCTTCTACTAGTGTCCTTTCAAAAACCAGGTTTGCTGTCATTAAATTTTATACATTTAATTAAAGATAATTAGGGGCAGAGTCAGGATTTTTAAAATGGGAAAAGGAGAAGGGAAACCGGTTATACATAATTTAAAGATACAATTTAAGTAAAATGCATTATTTAAAATTAAAATGTGTGGAATGTTTATGCTTTCAATGAATATTATTTTTATCCATGTAATTTTACAGCAAGAAAGATAAAGAAAACGATGTGAATCCAAATAATATAGACAATGTTCCCAAACCAACACATAAAGAGAGAGACGTTGTCAATAGCAACTCAGGAGCAAGTAAATCCCCTAAGAAGGATAAGAATGAGGTTAGTTCAGTAGGCTTTATTTCAGTTCTCACAACTTTGCCAATCAAACCTGTTCATTACAAAATTCACCCTTGCCTGTTAAAACATGAATATCCTGACAATAGTAAACACATAGGGGTTTGATCTTATCCCCAGTTTCTGTAGCGTTAAGTGGATGAGGGTGTGATGCTCCCCCTGTGTTGGACACAAGTTAAACCCAGCAGTAAATTGCTGGTACCCATTGATACAGATGGGTAGACTGAAGCAATGTAGATTAAGTGCCTTGCTCAAGAACACAGGTGAAATGCGCTTGTGTGTTTGGTACGTAATAAAGTTGGTGGTCACTTGCATGTAATAATTTCATCTTTTGTATTTCTGTTCAAAAACAAAAATTGATTCAGCCTAAATCCATAATATTAATTATCACTTTTTTTTATATGACAGGTAAATCGAGCAATGCAGTACCAGGCTGGAATAAGAGCCCCTAAATTTGGAGGACCTAAATTTAGCTCCGAGTACCAACGACAATTTGCCTGGAAGAAGCCAGTAATTAAGGAGTCCCCATTGATTGCTGCTGAACAAGTAAGTTATCTAACTCTTCATGCTGGAAGCTTCTTATTGCTTCAATTGTTGAAGATCTAAACCCTATAACCGTGTCTCATTATAAGTCAGTTCTGACTTGGTATATATAATGCTTGCATTGGTAACAGGTCTTGGGTTCAAATCCTATACAGAACACATAACTTTTATTGGTCTTGAAAAAGTACAGTACAAGAAATTACTTGGTTGTTGGCAAACTTTAAAAAATCACTATTGAATACAGTAAATATTAAAAACTGTATATACCGTATTGAAAACAACAAAACACTAAGGATAAAATATAGTACATTAAAATTAGTTTTTTTAAATGTTTAGTTACTGTAAACATTAATGCCTCCTGTGTAATGAAACTAATGATTTTTTTAACTTATTTTTTAAAATTTCAGATGGTATATAATTCACAGGCCAATATTGCTCCATATGTTCCTGATAAAATCCAAAGGAGCAGTGAATACCAGACCCAGTTTAAACCTTGGCAACTGAAGACACATCATACTAACACAGAAAAACTTAAAAGGCTAGCTGAGAATGAGATAAAAGCCAAGTACAGACTTAAAACTAAAGTATGTATATGTTTGTTATTTTAAGTCAGGCACTCACTGAGTCATACGATGGATGTATGTTTGACAGCCGACGAATCCAACTCCGTTCCCTGTAAGTGCCAGACGACGCAACTCTGCTGATTGTTCGTGGCAGTCTGAACAGATCGTCATTAAAGGCGATATGTTGCGTGCGCGTCGTTGCATTTTACATAAAATGGAGCCGCCCGACGAGCGTTTGACGCAGTGAGTGACTGGCTTTAAACTGAAGCTCTGTCCACACTATCAAATTTTATTTTGACAAAAACATATGACATGCCTAAATATGGTCATGATGACATCACATCATGACCATAGGCACATCGTGACTATATATGGGCATACATTTTTGTCAAAATGTAGACAGAGCTTTAGAATTTGTATTTGAGATTGTTTTAAATAATTTTTTTACTAAGAGCAAAACATTAATTCTAATTTAGATAAAAGTAAATAATTTATTTAGTGTAATGATGGTGACGAAAACTATGATCACATTGAGGATCATTCACTAGTAATCTGCCTTTTCACAGGCCTGCTTATGGGTTTGTGACGCTAAAGTTTCCCTGGTGTCTTTGCTACGCTTTACTTTTAACCTCTACAACTTCAGTTCTATTTTAGACTAAAACAGTTATTGTGTTAAGAAAAAAAATGAAGAGTTTTACTAATAATTATGTAGCAGCTGTAGGTAGTATTTAATTATCTCTTATAGTATAAAGCAGCATATTGAGAGGTTCTCACAAACAATAAGAAGAAAAATAAATATAAGAGAAAATTAATAAGAAAGAGCAAACACAAATGCAGTATATAAAAAGATTACACCACCAAACAGAATTTTGATGAATACGGAGAAATCAGTCTCTTTTATCCCTTTCACCTTAGAAGAAAAAGAAGAAACGTCTCTCACCAGATAAAATGGCAGCTGCAGGAGTGCCGTCAACTATCGTTCATGAAGATCCAAGTTTACTGAAAAAAGTGCAGAATCCGCAAGTCCCTTTCTTTCCCCATGCTAGTTTCAAGTAAGTTCTATCTATATGCATTGTCTTAACCTGTATTCAGCCTTATGGATTATATAATAGTAGACATGCTACTAATAGGTCACTTATTTGTGTTATTTCAGGTTTTTCCCCTAAAAAGTTACACATCAAGACTTAACTTATAATGTTGGTTTGTGGCCACCTTGATTTCATTTATGTTAATAAATCCATTTCCTTTTTTAAAACTAGTTTAATATACATATTATATTTGAACTAGTAGCCATATTAGTCTTTCTGTCTATGCAGATTCAGAAGAGGTCAAAGTAAGCTCTATGCACTGTGGCAGTTTACTTGTCATAAGCCCTGGTAATACAGCACGTGAAAATGTGTTTTGTATAAAGTTACTGCAAGCAATTTACTCCTAAAAAAGCCTTTTGTTATCTTTCTTTTTTGATGCTGTAGGAAATGGAAGTCTGAATACCGCTCAAACTTCAAGGCACCAGACAAATTCAACTACGAAAGTGGTGTCTGGAAGGGTGCCGATCCACCTCAGATACAACCGCGAGACGATACTTCCGCAAGAGAAAAGATCACGAAAAATGACAAGGCCAGTCAGCCTGTTGTCGACAACAATGTCCCAAATTGGTTTGATGAGGTAAGTCATAGTTTCATATCATGATTGGTATTCCAGAGAACTTTAATTTGTTAATCATTAATTGTTTCATAGTATTTTAGGTTTATTGTCTAGTAGGTGGGTTGCAGGAGTACAATGCTTTTCTTAGCATTAAAACATAGTTTCTATAAGTTCTATATATACACACTATTACATATATATACACACTATATATACACACTATATATACACACTATATATACACACTATTACATTTTCTGTGACAAATGTCTATGAGTTGCCCATGTTGCTTAGTACTCTAAAGTGGGGCATTCACTGCGTCCAGTGGTTGTCAGCTGAGAACGCAACACCACAATGTGTGCGCAGTAGATTGTTTTTAATGACAATCAGCTCAGACTGCCACTGACAACCAGCAGATGGCGTTGCGTCATCTAGTGCTCACAGGAAGCGGTGCTTTACATGTTGTACAGCATAGTAAGTGCCTAACTTTAGACTGTGAAAATGTTCTTTTTAAAGTAATTTTTCCAAACGAAATGATCGGCTCCTTTCCATGCTGGAGACCTGAGTCCCTACCTGTGCCCACCACTGTGGCACTTTTTCATATCATTGCTACGGCTTATATTATTGTTACTATATAAGGTGTCAGAGCTGAGGAATCGAGCGAAAGAGTACAAGAAAAGGGCAAGGGGAACTCACTTCTCCCGGGAACACCTTGCCCAGCTGTTGGCAGAACAAGCTAAATTGTGGGACCAGACAGATAATGGAAATGATGGTCATCAGGAAAACATTGGTACTAATGAACAGGCAATGTATGATAGTTTCCCACTCATTTTGACTTGACCAGAATAACATATAATTGTCAATATCAAGATTTTTGTGTCTTGGGGAAAATCAGTTGTACAACATATATAAAAATGATTTTCCTCTAGAGCCTGGCTTTAAAATCATTAATCCATCAGCAACGTCATATCTCTTTATCACCTAGGGCTCCAGCAGGCAAACCTAGCAATAAAGATGATGTGATTCTACACGTGCCTACCAGCAAAGGAGATGCTGATAATCAGTCACCAGTGAGACGGAAGCTAGCCTGGAATGAGAAGAATGACCAAAATTCTAACAACAATGAAAACAATTCAAGGTGATAATAAATGTTATTCATTTAAGTAATATTCAAATTAGTCGAGTTCATCAATATTATTATTTTATTGTGATATTTTCAACTTTAAATTAAATGAAGATATTATAGTATTAAATTGGTTAAATAATTTTTTGCCTTATTTTCTGAAGCTCAATCCAGACTATCAAATTTTCTTTGACAAGAAACTGTTTTATGCCCATATATAGTCATGATCTGCCTATATATGGTCATAATATGATGTCATCATGACCATATTTAGGCATGTCACATGATTTTGAGGTTACAACTCTATCCAAGATGGATGGGGTTCTTTTTCCAAGCCTAGTGTTCAAGGAATATAAGCAGTTTACAAGAACTATTGTTGTCCCTGCGTATGACATGCGAGATCAAATTGTGCTGCTGTTGATGGTAAAACTCTGTATTATTGGGGTTTTAACAATTTCATATATCCATCATTGTTAATGACATACCCCAGTCAGCGTGTTCAATGGTTGTATCACAATTCAGAGTTGAAACCATCTTCTTTCTGAAGCCATGTATAATCATAGAGTGTAGAAAGTAATTGTATTAAATTAATGAAAGTATATTTTATTTTTTCTTACAATATAAATGCTTTCTTGTTTTTATGCTATTCTAGCATTGGCAGTATTCCAACTCCAACTGGATTAAGAGATTCTGCGTCTTCAAGTAGTATTGTAGATATCATCGATGAAAATGGAAGAGTTACTACACCAGACTTACCAGAAAAGGGTATCAAGCAAAGGCATCACTTTGACAGGACCACACCAAGCACTGGTATATGGACACATTTTATTAAGCAATACATCTCCTAAGGCTTAAGCTACCAAGACTGGCAACTTGTTTGATTTCTTGGGCAAGGCATTTTATCCATGTTGCCTCTCCCCTCCAAAGAATTTTTTTTCATGTCTTGTGGTTTTTAAAAGCTCATTGAGATGATTGTTTTTATTGTGGAAGGTGATATATAAATACTGAATCATTAACCATTGATATTATTGGGTAGCTACTACATAGTAGGTTTAAATTACAATTGCTTACTGCAACATCATAATATATTCCCCAGGGGGCTGGGAATATGTTCCATAAGTTCCTGTACGAATTACTGGTATAATAATTAAAAGCACAGGCCTTGGTGTAATGCGCTATATAGACCAAAAATATTATTACATAAGCAAGTATAGTAAATACTTTTAAATCCCAGATATGTAGTCCAAGATTATTTCTAGTCTTGCTCTGTGTGCCTCAATTTTTACTGTATGGCGTTTGTCCTTTTCTTTTGTTTTTGCAGGAGGAGCTTTATTAACATCCCCACAACCAACTAGAAGGGATGTCATCTCTTCCCCGGTTCATAAGGACCCACTCAGCAATCAACCAATCTACAAACCTAGTAATCGTACATATGCTATTGATAAGTCACCTTCAAGATATGCAAAAGGTAATGTATGATTGGGTTCTGTACATCTTATGATAATGTCAATTGAGAGAGCAGCTTAGCTCAGTTGGCTAAACGGTAGCCACTTTGTGTGCGCTGAACCATGGAAATCTCTTGGTCCCCGGTTCAATTCCCATAGCTCCTTTCCTTGCATGTATTTCAGAGAGCTGGAGGAAAAGAGTAAGGGGATTGCATCCAGTATACTGCATAATCACAACCAGAAGAAGCCCACTGACTTTCGTGGGTTATCCTTGGTGTTTACACCGAAAAAAATCCATCCGATAATGATCCTTCGCTAATAATAATAAAATACGAGTTACATGTAACACTTGAAACAGCTCTCTAGCTAGCTTGTCAGGTGAATCCATGATGGGTTTCATAATGATTATGATGCTGCTGATAATAATAATGATGATAATTATGATTATTATAATCTTAATAATCAACAAATACATATTTTTTGTAATCTTTGAAGGAAGTGGAAGGCCAGGTCTTACATATGTGAAAGGTCACAACCAGGATCATGGTAGTGGGGATGAATCTGATGATGATGACATCACTCCTGTGAAAATGACTGAATTCCAATCAAAGACAGCAAAGGTAAGCAACTGTCTTTAGTTAACTGCTAATAAAGTCATGGACAATTATAATAGCCAAGTTATGTGATAAAAGTAATTGGTCTCCAGTTTTCACAATATGGTACAGAATGAAGCTATACACAGGAAGACAGTCCTTTGCTCAGTGCAAACATGTAAAATTATGTGATGATTCCAGCTAGACTAGTTGCTTTTTGAGACTAAAAGTAGGTTTAGTCCCCAAATATTTCCAATTACTTTAGTCCTTAGCATCTATTGATTCTCAAATTCCTTAACTTTAGGCTGGTTTCCTTAAAATCGCTACACTGTCACCACAGTGTTTTCAGTGCAATCGTTGTACTGCCTTGCAGTCCCTGACGGAATAAGGAAGGCTCCCCCGATTCGACCGACCAAATTAGCATCACCAAAAGCTGTCGGCGATAGAGTGTAGCAATTGTATTTAAACCAACCTTTTCCATTTGGCCGTAATATTGAATTTGACTTTCTTTGGACTTGCTCTTACTCTGCGATTGTGTGTTTTCAATAACTAGTTGTCAACAAAAAATGTATGTTTTAGTGCTAGGTGTAAAAAGCACCAGCCTAGAAATATAATATTCCTGGCTGGGCAATACATAGAGTAAAGCAATATGGGCACTATTAAAATATTAGTGCATGGTAGGGAATAGGAAAATAATGTTGGAGTTACAATGATGACGTCACGGTTGACTTTTAATTGCTTTTAGGTTCCAAAACCACTGGCAGCATCTCCCACCGCAGGAGTGAGATCCAGAGACCCAGACCCACTGAATGATGATTTGTCAGAACATTCCTTCAACAGACATTCCAACAATTACTTTGAAACCAGTGCAAGGATGAAGCACATACAAGGTACCAGAGCTCCTCCAAGCACATGGGCAGCACCTCGGCAACATAAAGACCAGCCTCGTCCTTCAACCACTGAAGGTAAGTTAGCACTTAAAAGTAATAACAGATCTTTGTAATCAGGGTGCGACTATCTGAACACAAAGCTGTGCAAATAAAGGATGGTGCCTTCTAAGGATTTCTATAAAGTATGGGAACCCTCAAGTGACTTTCCTGACAGACCTAAATAAATATATATGAGCTAATATATTTTAGAACTTACTATAGTGATCAGAATGGTAGTGCTGAAGTAGAATTGAGAGTAATAATCCTGAGTAGTAATGGTGATAATGGTAGTGTGTAGTATTGATGGTGATCACACTGCTAATTGTGCTAATTAGAATGATGGTATTCAGAAGTGTGGTGGTATTGATAATACATCCGACTAGAATACTAAGTCCTGCATGTGACTTATTTATCACAGGTCACAAAAGAACAGATTCAATTTTATTCATTACAATTACCTACAGGTCCCTTGGATCAACCAAATACTGGCAGTATACAGGGTCGGCCACTGACAGCAATGCCAAAGTCACGGAAGCAGGCTCGGGCAGAGGACTTTCCGTCAGATGATGCGTCGTCAGTGTCTTCAGCACGGCAGGCTCGGGGAAAGCTTGCAGCCAAATCCAACAAGACATCTGTACCAAGGCCTGAGGCTCCGCGTGCATGGAGTATACCAACAAACGAAGATATACATCCATCATTGGGTGTGTCGAAGTTAGACGACAGTCCAGCCAGCGACCAAATGTCGATGTCGGATATATCAAGCGTTTCGAGTTGTTCACTGGCATCAGACATTCTTGACCGAGCCCGGAAGAGAAGGGACAAATTTTGGGGAAAGTAATTTTATACGGGTTAATTCAATAGCACATTTCCGAGAGTTTTAAAAAAACTTTTTACTAGAACATTTGACAAAGACAATTATAATATTTTTCAGCATAAAAACTGTTTCCTATAATTATGCAAAAAAAAAATGTTTCAGTACAGTACTTTCCCTATTTTTAAAAATGTATGTAAATATTTTTTCAAATGTCCTTGTACTGTACATCTTAAAGGTTGATATTACCATTTTTTATGATAGCAGTGTGTAATGTAGTGAAGTACATATAGCATAGTCCAATAACACTTTCAACATTTAAATACTTTTACCTTCCTTTTTAAAATGAAATAATCATACTTGTTAAATGTATCAGGTATTTTTAACATTCTCATTACCAAATGTTTTTAATAAATTGTTTTTACATGTACAGTACTGTTAAATGGGTAAAGTATATTTTGAAAGAATGAACAGTATTTTTTGCTAGGTAAATGCTGTTTTGAGATGGGAATGTTTTATATTTATTCGGTGTATGCTGGTACTGGACAGTAAAATTGAACAATTGTAATGTGTTACCTGCGACACAAATTATTCAGTTGTAAAAATCGAAATAAAACCACTGAAAACACTTGTCATGTTTACATAGTTTTTTTTTATGGTGTCCATTTCCAAGGAATTACACAAATAGTGCCATCAGATAATTTTTGACTTCTAATAAGCGAGTTGAGTAGCAAGGCAGGGGCGTTGCTAACTACAGTCTTAACATCGGCTCTGGTTCGAGCCGCTCCTCACCCAGTGTTCGGTTGGTAGAGCCAAGTATTTGCAGATAACAGGGGCGGATCCAGAAATGTCCAAAAGGGGGAGACGGAAGGGGGGACCGAAAGTTGGGCCGATTGAGACAACACCGTCGTAGGGGAAATTTTTGTGTTCTAGACGCCCGAACATAACATTTGAGACATTCTTGGCCATCATTTTTTCCTTTTTCTCTCTTTTTTTACCTCCCAAAAGGGGGGCTGGGCCGCCGCCCCCCCCCCCCTAAATCCGCCCCTGGATAAGGACTTAAAATGCTCATGTGCACCCATTGTGTGAACCCATTGCATCTTTCGAAATAGTAGGGGGTCACCCTATGGTTCATTTCAGCACCTCATGGAATGTGAACATGTAGTCACAGAGCACTCCCTTGCTCAATTCAACACAATGACGCTACAAGTTATGGGTTATTCTCCTACCTTGCCATTTATTGATGATGGCATTGTTGGTACTGTATTAGTGGCAACGTTGATATCGGTGAGGAACGCAGGATTCTGCTTGGGGTGGTGCCATCAGTAGGGATCAAGAAGGGACTTTCACAGATAGTGTCTAGACCAGGGATGGCATAAAAATTGGTCGCAGGGCCAAAAATGAATTTTTGATTTAACACCAAGGGCTGCACCAAAACTTTGATGTTTTCAGTGTGCTTCCAAAAACACCAATTTTCTCAGTTTTAATATTACTTTTTACATATGATCAGTGTCCAGCTGCATAGTTGGGACTAAGGCAAGAAAACCTGTACAATGAAGGCACCTTTAAATGGCTAGAAATGCCACTTTCAAACTTAGTCTGAATATAAATTTCTTTATTTCTCCATTTTGTCACTGGTGGATGCTCACCTTGAATTTGCCACTGGCAAGCATAGATGTTTATTTAATTATTTCTTTAAACATTTAATATGAAAACCTATGAGTCAAATCTATTATAAAATATACAGAAAAATAATGTGGTTTGCAAAACTTTTTCCAGTCCCGCACTGTAGTTGTATTGTCACAATATTGTTTGAGATGTAGTCTTTAAAAGAGAACTAGCAAAATGATTTTTTGTTCTAGAGAGGATTTTTGATTTGCCATTAATAATAAAATCAACCTTAAAATCGTTTTTTGGCTTTTTTTAAATGAAGTTATAGGCGATTATATACGATTTTACCATGACGTCACTGGCGAAAAATTAACAAAAGATCGTGTAAATAGCGCCGTGTATATGGTATTCGCCGCGTACGATCTTTGCGTGTATGCTGTAACCATGGCTGTAAATTGTGAATGTTACAGCATGGAGGTATTAATAATACCTCCATGGTTACAGCATGCACTGAAAGATCGTACGCGGCGGATACCCTACGCGGTGGATACCCTACGCGGCACTATTTACACGATCTTTTGTTACTTTTTCGCCAGTGACGTCATGGTAAAATCGTATATAATCACCTATAACTTCATAAAAAATAGCCAAAGAACGATTTTAAAGTTGATTCTATTATTAATGGCATATCAAAAATCCACTTTAGAACAAAAAATCATTTTGCTAGTTCTCTTTTAAGGAGTTCAGTATAACACCATCAGAACATGCTTAGAGCAACCATGCTCCTAACAGGTGTAAGAGCCTTAAAAACTAAGATGCAATGCACTACCAAAATACTGCACATGGTTTGTAAACACTGAACAAATTTTGAAAAAAAAAAGAATACTAAAGACATATTTCAATTTTATATATTTTTAATTGTGTCCTTTTACTAGGAATTTACAGAAATAGTCCCCATCAGACCAAAATGCTGAGTACATTTTGACTTATGATCTTGGTCTTTCCTTCTTCTCTTTGTACAAAGCCCACATGGAAACATTTGCGACCTTCACAACTTTGAATCGTACGCCAGGAATATCACCGACAGCATGGCCCTTTCGTCCAAATCCAGCTACCAAAACCTCATCGTTTTCCTGAGAAAATAAATATAGTACTTATATAATATGATAAGGTGATGCAATTACTTCAATCAAATTTGTTTTCTTCCAGAATTACATTGTTTAAGGTTTTTTTTGCAAGACAATTTTTTTATCCATGGCAGCCATTTTAAATCATAAGACCTTTAACCTAGGAAAATGTGATAAAATGCATGAAGGCTGTAAGTGGAATTCTCTTCATAAGGCCTAAAAAATTGTTTGCCCTTCTTTTTTTTAAATGATAAAAAAAGGGTATGTGGAAAAAGTTTCTTCCCCACCCCACCCCAAGATTACTCATCAGATGGTATAAAAATAACCCACAGCTGACATTTTGCAATGAATGTATTCCCAGAACCATAATATCTTATGCAGCTGTCAATTGTAAGACGCACTATACGTCAAATATGCGTCATACATTAGCATTCTATGACGCACCCCTCCATCAAACATGTGACCGACTATTGTGTGAAATTGACGCACCAAAAAATGATTTTGTGACGGACCATCTCTTGAAAGTGACTGTACTCGACAAGTACATTATGACGCACACATTACACGTACAAATTCCTACAGTCTCTTGATTTTATTTAGGCTATTTCTTCACAAGATTATATAATAAAGATTCCATACATTGTACTGTAATATCATCAAAGATCTGACTATCACATAACTCCGAGATTTACGTGTAACAAAAATAGAAGCGTCCAAGTAGGCGTCCTAGTTTTTAACCATGGTTTGAAAGAATTTGCACGTAGATCAAAGTTATCAAAGTTTAATAGTAATTGTAATTACTAGAGGGGCCCTACGCAGCGCTATTATTGCACGCAAAAATCGTGGAGAATGCTATTTTATAATAAGATCTTTGAATATCATTTTGGTCATGCAAATTTTTTTTTAATTACGTCATTCTGTACATCGGCCGCTAGAGGGCGTTATTTGTTTATGTCAGCATTTTGTAATGCCGGACATAGATGCACCTATTTTTCACAGTGTGACTGACCAAAATGGGTTTTTGACGGACTCCCTGCGTCAAAATATTATGGTAAATGACGCACCTTTCCCGGGGGTTGTATAATGCGTCTTACAATTGACAGCTGCATTACATCAAACAACTTTAGACAACTTTGTAGGGCTTCTAGCAAAAAATAAAGACCAATTCACACACATTTTTTTTTTTATTTGTAAAGAAAAAAGCAAAAAGCTAAAAAAAGTGTTTTTAATGTTTTTTTGTTTTGCCGCCCTTTTTTTCCAGTGAGTTAGGGGCGGGTGCGGAGGGCAACCAATTTTTTTTTAGGCCTAACAGTAGGTAGTATTATTATTACCTCAATGTAGTTCAAGCAACCATCTCTTGGTACAAAGGCGGTGATCTTTTTACCATTCTTGATCAACTGAACACGCACACATTTCCTAATGGCAGAGTTTGGCTGTTTGGCTTCCACACCACTAGAAAAGAAAGTTTTAGGAAAGTGAACATTTAGATGCAAATGGGTTTATAAGATCTTATCCCACTAAATGACAATTAAAAAAAAAAGATTTTATGGTAGAGTATGGAAAACAACAAACCACTTTGTATATATATAACATCTATGTTGCTGCCATCTGGCTGGTAGCAATATTAGTATTATTCAATCAGTGTGAAATCGTATATTAAACAATAACCTTCTAATACCAATTCTAATCACATTTTATTTCTTTCTATAAATTATTATCAATATATCAGTAGATTTGACAAAAAGTAACTAGAAAGAGGCAAATGCCCTAAAGAAAAATCAACTGGATGACTCCAATCGACACTTGTGGTGAGTAACATTAAACATCAAAACATATGAAACAAAGTACTTTTGGTGTGTACTCTCAAATAAACATGATTTATTTAATTAACACTGTGGCACATATTTGATGGCAGAATGTGGCGAGGAAATTCAAATTTTCAGAGCTTTTTCAAGAGCAGTAATTTCAACTGAAATTTCATATTGCAAACACTTACATCTTTTCCAAAACAATGCCCTTAGCATGAGATGCCCCTCCGAATGGGTTAGCTTTGAGGGCAGTACCCAAATGAGCCTTTTTGTAATCCTTATCATGCCATCTTTGATCACGACGATGGTTCCTTAGCTTACGGGCTGTACGCAGACCTCTGGGCTTACCACTACCTATATAGCATACACACAAAAGAAAAAATAGACTTATTCAACTGGTTTCTCATTAAACTCAATAAACATATAAAAATGTTTTGAAGTCAGGCTCCAGAGGAAAAATATTTATATGTTGTAAAACAGATATTTCTAGACACAAAAGGGTGTTTTAAGAAAACTCCTGAACGGTTAATGAGATAAAGATTGCAGAGTTTTTCGTCAAACACCATTTCTGTGTATTAGAAAAACCAGTTGTACAACATATCAATTTTTTTTTTCTCTGGAGCTTGACTTTAACAAAACATATTTCACTGGAATCATCCCAAAACTAACATACTGCCGCTAAATTTTAAACTGAGCAATTAGCTTAAGACTATGGGTGGCAGTATTGTATACTTCAGTAGAGACGAAGCTGTAATACTTTTACTCAAAATTATGGTACTAGTAAGTCAATTACAGTAAATGACCCATCATTTTAAAGCTTATATGTAATGTGGGGAATATGAATATATTAAGTCAATTCTCTTGTTTTAATAGCTGATGCTGGTTTTGGCATGGCAAGCCTCATTTAGACTAGTTTACAAAAGTGCAAAGATCACAATAAAAATTACTTTCATAAATTAGCACTAAAAATATCAGGAAGTTTATCATCAAACAAAGTACACAAATTGCATTTAAAATGAATTTTTATTATCTTGAATTTTTGGGCTATTGTATTATAAATAAAATGTTTGTATTTTTATTTTTATTATTTTTAATATATAGTGGATATAGGCCTACAGCTCACTGATGGCTTTTGGAGGAAATACAGTTAGCGTAAATATGAAATTGAATTGAATTTTCATTAGACTAGTGTACAAACAATTTGAATATACCATAATTGGTTTTTTTTTAAATTGATGAGAGAGGTTGGTTGGTACAATAAATTATTTCGCTTTTGTTTTTATCGATGAGGGAGGGACTGTTTATATTTGGCCTGTACTAAAAACTGATTTAATTTTAATTTTTATATTCTTTTTAAAGAAAATGTATTTTGAATTCACAAAATTGCATTTTTATTTTATGCAGTTGAAATAATTGATGCGGCAAAAAAAATTTTTTTTTTTTATTTCCGCATCAATATTTCCCAAATTTTTGACACAGGCACAGGCGGGAGTGATAATCTAATATTAATAAATTTTTCTATTTGCCCTATTATTGATTGTAAGTTAAAAATCATTTGGTAAACGCTTTCAGGGATGGATGCGAAACCGTATTAGCGCCGGACTAGTCTATGCTCTACCTAGACTGTACATAGGTAGCGGAGAGCTAGGCTAGGTTGGTATAAGACCTAGGGTTTTAGGCCTACAGTCATTGCCAACAACACAGCTCCTGTCCTCGATCCACAGATAGAGGGTGCGCTGCCAGCCAGGCCTAAATGACTGATTATTTTATCCCAATTTTATCTAAAGAACGGATGTATTTTGGACACCTGAATCAAGACTAACTTAGGTCAAAATAAGTATAATAAAATTATGTTAATTTTAAACCCATTTCATTTTTCTATAATATGAAAATAAACCGTTCAAACACCGCACATGTTTTCCTTACCCATTTTGTTCAAGGTTGGATCGAAAAGACCAATCCCATAATGCAATCTTACCAATTGAATCGACGGCGGATAGAGGGCAGCTTCCAAAAACTTCAAACCCCATTCCCGGCAAAATTTCACAAAAAAAAAATTTTTATAGAAAAAATGCATATGCTATAAACTATTTATGATAAGTAATGGAAAAATATTGGATCAATTTTAGTTTTAAGCAAAATAATAAAAAAAATGAATACAGACTATTTCTCATAGGAGATTACCATTAATTTTGTCGACGAATTCTTCGTTTACTAGGCAAAATTCAGAGGTTGTAGGGCCGCCCATATATCATTGGAAGTATTGCTGCCACCAACGACTCCAATGAGTTGACGAGTGAGTGATTTTTTCTCGGAAATGCATTAGCCAAAATAATAACAAGCCCAACCCACCCTTACTGAAATATGGCAGCTTATCCTCCAACAAGTACATTTCAACCGGGAACAGTGTCAACACCTGCAACAAAAGTTGAGGTGTCAGTTGCCTGCAGGTAAGTAATATGCTGCTACCATCCAAATATATGATTGCTGTCGGTTATATTTTGGAAGATATCATATAGATAGGGCCTAGTTAGCAGGGTCCAACTTAGCCTAGTATAGGCCTAGTAGGCCTAGCCTGCCTAGGCAACAATGTTTCATTAATTCAGTTCAACTACTGTTATATTCCAACAAATTCTGGGAATAGCTGCAGACCTACTCCATCTTTCAGTTTTACAGATGGCTCATTCAATGTGATGTTAATGTTAGGGTTCTTCCACGATCCCGATGAGGTAGCGTAATAGCCTACCTAAAAACATCAGACTTATTAGGCCTAGGCCTAGAGCTTTAACAATAATGATTTTGTGTCGATCCTTAAAAATTAAAATCTCTTTATAGGCATTTACAGACACACTGTAATATATTGCTATTTCAATTGAGATTTATGATGGTACCATGATAACTGTGCTCAGAAACAATTTTAGATCATTCTTCTCTTTCCTAAAATCAAAAACATCTCCTTTTTTTTTAGAAATGATTGAGTTTACAATTTTATACTGTTGTCACACTTAAAATGAGGAATTTTTTGTTCCCAGGAACCTATCTGACAAAGATGTGATGTCCAAATCAGATCCAAGTAAGTGGTTCTCATCAGGGCCACATGACAGTTAAAAGCTAACTTATATGTTGATTGATAGGTGGTGGTATTTATATTTATTATGATGATATACAGTATTATATAATGAATAATATTATTAATTACCAACATTGATATCTAGATTATAACATGCATAGTAAATTTATAAGGATTTTTTTTTTTTTATTCTCATTTGTGCACTCTTTTTGCTAATTCATAAAAATTATGCTTCATCTAAGTATAGCTGTGAGCACCCCTTGACTAATAATGGAAGCTTCTTCATATTACCTACTTATTATAATTATAGCAAGAAGGTGATAATAAATTAATATCAATATGAGAAATAACTTAGCTTTTACAACAGAATAACATACAAATATATCAGGATATTAAAGTTAATCTGATCTTTCAAAATACAATGTAAAACATTTTTAAAAAGACTAATTTACACAATAGTAAACAACAGTTTTTGTCACAGAAAATCTGATAATTGGGACATACTGTATTGAAATTATAATGTCACTAGGTATTACCTAAGCATTTTGTCATATAAAAATTGATAATGTGGACAATACTTTATATTTTATTAATTATTAAAATTATGGTATACATGTGTTCTTTTTGTTTCTATCAGATCTTTTAAAATAGAAAAATTAAATTAATTGGGGTTTTTTTTCTGAAGTTTTATAGGAATTGTATTTTTATAATGTTTCTTCTTTCAGTGTGTGTTTTGTATACAACTCAGCTTGGTTCCAAACAATATGCTGAGGTAACTATTTTGTTGATTGAACATTTTGAATGTTAAGTGAAAATCTGTTACACCATTTGATAGGGAATTCAGAATAGAATTTTACTAGTAGCACATAACATTGATATGCATTAAAAATTTAGTGCCAAAACGTGCCCTCCTACTGGAGCCGTGCCTGCAGTTTGTTTTATAAATTTATCTGTTTCTAATAATGGGTGTAATACTAAACACCATAAATAATTCTTGTTCTATGTTATGGTTTTATAATGTTTATATGCTAATTGTATGTGTTTTTTACTAGACAACGAAGTATCTTTTTATTTTTTAGTATGAACGAACAGAACAAGTGAAAAACAGTCTAAATCCTGAATTTGTGCACAAGTTTATCTTAACATATTACTTTGAAGAGTGTCAACGTCTTCGCTTTGAAATGTGAGTCATTGCTTGGTATTTCCATGCATTCATGAATATATAATGTTGAGCCTCTTTTCTACCTTCTATTCATGAATGAATCTTTTGGAGGGCTTCAAGATTCCGTTTGAACAGTCAAAAGTTTAAGTCTAAATCTTACCAGATAAACTGTAATAACCTTATATTTCTCTTGTTTTACAAACATTTATTTTTTGATTCTTGACTCTGCTACTCTCTGTTTTTTTTTTTTTAGTTATGATGTGGATTCAGCAAAACAAGCCCTTGATAAGCATGTAAGTATCTATTTCCTTTTTTTTTTTTTTTTTTTTTTTTTAAGGGGGTGGGGAGGGTTATTCAACAAACATTTACTTGCTTTCACATTAAATATATTGACGTTTTGGGTTAGTCATGGATGCATTTAATAAAATTGTCAACAAAACATTTTAATTGTTATTTAGTGCTGAATTATTAACTGTCCAATATAAGCATTATGTATTAAACCACACTAGTTTGATAAAATTATTCAAGTATAACCATCAGATTTATGACCTTGGATAACACAAACAATACCAAAACATGGTTTATTTTCATTGTGGTCCAACTATTATTCTGCTTTTCATGCATGGTAAATTTGTTTTATTTACATAAATAGCTTTCACATACTATGCCCAATAGTGTTAACAAATAGTGAGAGGATTTCCTCTAAAGCCATTTTTATCCATATTTTATACATTTATATTATATGCTGTAAAGATTTTTATTTGAATCCTGTTACTGTATTTGATTTAGACAGACTTTTGGTTTTCATTCATTCATTCATTCATTCATTCATTTCATTGACTAGACTCGGTTTTGTATATATTTGGATGTACCACACAGAAGTGAGCGAGTGCCACTGATTCAAAAGTGATTCCTTATAAATAAATTAATAAAATAATATTAAATGTTAGTGTCTATATCACATATTAATTTCTGGTGCCATTATGTGACTCATTTTTGTGGTGTAAAGGCCAATTCAGGCAGTGTCGTACAACACATCCCAAAGCAATTCTTCGTCGGGGAACAGTCTTAAGCCATCTTGAGAAATATTAAACATGTTTAATATTCTATGACGCTACTGCCCCCAAATGCAAACCATCGCGTCTGTGTTTAAATCACACAGACCCGACGAAACAACATATCGGACCGGGCTACGTCATACGACACTGTCCACGTTGGCCTCAAGGTGTCAGAAATGCATACTGTAGCAGGATTTCAACACCAAATTCAAGAGATTTGTCTCCACATTGTGTATTAAATGTTTGTATAATATGCACAAATTCCAAATACCATTTTATTTGCAGGATTTTCTAGGTAGTTTAGATTGTACACTTGGAGAGATTCTTGGAAGTTCCGGTAATAAGATTAAAAAACCATTAGTGTGAGTAAAATAAATAAAATGTATGCAATCAAAATTTTATAAACTAACACTTTGAACATGAAAATAGCCAATTATGGGAATAGGTTTTTAATAATAGACCTGTCTGCTGAGCCCGCCCCTTAGATATTTTTGTTAAGGAAACTTACGCAAACATGTGCGTTTGTGGGACAACACGTGTGTTTGTTTGACACGCGCATATTCCTGACCCGGTTCTGATTGGTCAGTTGTTAAGTTTGATTGACACTTTATAAAATAAGAAAAAAAAAATTTAAAAATCAATTCGAAGCTGATTTTTGAACTTGAAAGTCATCTGATCTGCTCATTGTAATCACATCCTGGGTTTTTGCTTGGGGAAATGTATACCTATACTTGAATTACATAAGGGGGTGGGGGTGGGCTTTTACCTGAAGTTGGCTTATATTCGAGAAACTATGGTAGTGAAAACAGCGACTAAAATATATTACTATATTTTTTGTTTAAATATAATTTTTTTTTTTTTTATAGTGGTGTTTCGAAAAAAGGTGGAGAAATCATCATATCTGCAGAAGAAGTTAGTGAGTGCAAGGTAAAGTGTCATTATATTGATAATAACTACAAACACCTAACAATCAATCAATCAGTCAACCTATCAGTCAACTTTTATATTGGACGTACATATCCATGTATCAAGATAAAAAAGGGAAAGTAGGAGAATAATCCATAACTTGCATCGCCATTATGCTGAATTGCGTATGGGCATGGTGCATAACTATTCTAGCAGCCGTAGACAGGCACTTAGTTCACATAATTCCACAACAACAGGGGCTAAAAATGAACCACAGCATCAGGGTAACCAACTAGTCTTTCGAAAGATGCAATGGTTTCTTTAAAGTGCAGACGAGCCAGATGTATATACTTTACCATTTTTAAGTCCTTATCCAAGAAGACTTAGCTCTACCAACTTAACTCGCGGCAAGGAGCAGCTCAGACCAGCGTCGATGTTAAGGCTGTAGTTCGCGGCGCCCCTACCGTATCCCTTAGCCACTCAGCAAATATAGAAAAATGTGTGTAAGCAAATGCCATCTGAAAAGCATTTTTGAATATAAGCCTGTTCAGATAAGGATGAAGATACTTTGTTTAATTTGAATTCTTAACCTTCAACAGGATTTGGCAACATTCACAATGCGAGGGCATAAGCTTGACAAGAAGGATTTCCTTGGCAAGTCTGATCCTTACCTTGTCTTTTACAGGTGCAATGAGGACAACAGGTGAATGCACACCATCTTTATTTTTGGAGGAAACCAGTCAACTCGCCACCTAGCAAACTCGCCTCCTAGTCTGGCGAGTTTGTCAGGGGTGAGTTTGTTAGGGGCGAGTTTGTAGGGGCATAGTTTGTCAAGGGCCAACCATGTATAGTTGAAGTGGGGGGGGGGGCGAGTTTGTTAGGGAGCGACTTTTGTTAGAGGCGGGTTGGTAGGGGGAACTTACCTACCTTGACAGGAATCCATTCTTGGACATATACTCAAATTTGTTATCTGTCTGTTTTTTGTATAAAATGTCAAGACAGTGTTATAATAAAACATCAGTCAAGACATCTAAAAGATTGAATTCTGTGACTATTTTTAAAAAACCTTTACTTATCTTTCTTTCTCATTTCCCACATGCTCTTCTAGTTACACGATTGTCCATAAGACGGAGGTGATTAAAAACACCCTTGATCCAACCTGGCGTCCATTCAGCCTGATGGTTCGAAAGATATGCAATGGCGATTACGACAGGTCTATAAAGATCGAATGCTATGATTATGACAGTGATGGAAGGTAGGTTGGAATTGAATTTCATTTTATGATTGTGGCCTTTTTCACCAAAATTTTCCCTTGTCAAGAATAACTTAAGGATAACATCTTGCAAAGCCAGGGTACCACATAGTTAAATACAGTCAAGCCAAGAGAATGTGTTAACCCCCTCTATCTGTAGGTTGTAGTACTAGTGTACGTCTTTGTTTCTTTCCTGTAAATTTGGATGTACAAACAAAAAAAGTGTCTAGTCCTTGCTGGTATTTGATCATTTACTATATCTAAAACCCAAGTAATCCACCAAAGCTATGTTAAATACTGATTGATTGAATATTACTGAAACAGGCCACAGGTCAAGTGAAGGGTCACAATAAGCACTTTGATGAATTGCAGGTCATCCTAGCTTGAGTCCTGGCAACTGTTTCACACCCTCACAGAGCTGTCCTTATGCATACTGCACAATGAGTATTCTAAACGTTAAAGTTGAAATCCTTTAATTGTTTCTTATTGTTTTTCTGTTTTTCTTTTGGTGTTGCAGTCATGACCTCATTGGAGAATTTACTACCAACATGCGACAACTGTCTGAGGGCAGCAAACGTTTTGAGGTAGTTTCTGTTCTACTCAAAACAACAAGCCTCACTGGCTTTACTCATACACTTTTAATTGATAAGTTAATGGCTATTGGATGCAAGTGTAAATAAATATAATTAGATAAAATTATTAAATTTAATGGTTTACTTAAATTTCAGTGGCACTACAACTACAAATATCCATACAGGTCAGGATGGTGCTATGGCATAGTGTTTTGGCACTCGCTTTCTAACACCAAGCTTCTTGGTTCAATCTCAAAATCGTTTACACAATTTCTTATGATCGCAAAATTTTCTCGCATTTTTCTCATAAAAGACTCTTGGTTATAGTTAGTTAAACTTTGTACACACTATTTTATGTAACAAATAAATGTGATGCACCATATTTGGATATATTATGACATCATCATGCCCATATATGGGATGTATACATATATACATATACATATATATGCACCTGTCTCTTATACACATCTAGATGTGTATAAGAGACAGATATATATATATATATTATTTACATTGATATTTTCAGTTGATTCATCCGAAGAAAAAAGAAAAGAAGAAGAACTACAAGCATTCTGGTACCATTGAGCTGACAAGTTGTCGGATTGAGATGCAGCCAAGTTTTCTCGATTATATCAAAGGTGGAACGCAACTTAATTTTACAGTGGCCATCGATTTTACAGCCTCAAATGGTAGGTGGATGGAAAGAAAAGCATTTTTTGCATGTTTTACCTCTTAATGACTGTGGGTTGTGTTCTGTATCAATAATCTATTTTCTGCATTCTACTTTTTCGAATTCATTAGCAGTATTGTAAAATTCTACTTATTGACACTTCCAGGTAAAATTATCAAACTCTTCAACCTTCATTTCCTTACAGTTTATTCAAGCCATTTGATCAAAATTAAGAAAAAAATATGTAATTTATGAAATTAAATTGTGTGTGGGATAAAGTGTCTATTAAAAAGGTATAAGGAATATTAGTTGTTTATTGTAAACACAATTATTGATAAAAAATGTTTGTTTTCTCATCAATTTGGCATCTTCCATTTGACCAGCTGTTAAAGCAACTTGATAGTGGTGTAAGTTCAAATTAAAATTGCAGTTATTCACAATATCCTAATCCAGCACCTCTAATCCTTAATCCATTGTAATCCCCAGGTAATCTAAAGCACCTCTAATCTTTAATCCATTGTAATCCAAAGCACCTCTAATCTTTAATCCATTGTAATCCGCAGGTAATCCAAAGCACCTCTAATCCTTAATCCATTGTAATCCCAGGTAATCCAAAGCACCTCTTATCTTCAATCCATTGTTATTCCCAGGTAATCCAAAGCACCTCTAATCTTTAATCCATTGTAATCCCCAGGTAATCCAACTAGTTCCAACTCATTGCATTTCCTTGATCCATACCGCCCAAACCATTACGCTCAAGCTATCCAGTCTGTGGGAGAGATTGTACAGGACTATGATACCGACAAGCTCTTTCCGGTGCTTGGCTTCGGTGCTAAGATTCCTCCTAACGGGCAGGTGTCGCATGAATTCCCAGTGGTAGGTAGACATTCCTTGATGTCTCATATATACTTGAATCTGTTGGTTGCTATTTTTTTGCCAGTGGTGCTAGTTTAATTCTATTGAAAGTGGTGATGAATGTTTTATTGGGAAACATATTTAAAATGCTTCTCACATAGAAATAATTCAGCATTCCTTTAAAGTAAAACTCTTGAAGGCATCAAAATATTAAACACAAAATAATTTTAGAATCCTTTTTACAACATTAGTATTTCTATCAGCTTGGAACACATAAGAATGAAAATTGCGTGGTATAATAATCCTGATATACAAACAAAATTTAAATATATATTTTACTATGTTTTTGAGAGGGTAACTCTTAAGTCCTGTCCACACTATCAAATTTGATTTGACAAAAGCATGTGACATGCCTAAATATGGTCATGATGACATCACATCATGACCATATATAGGCACATCATGACCATATATGGGCATACAACAGGTTTTTGTCAAAGAAAATTTGATAGTGTGAACAGAGCTGTCTAGAAGAGGCTCCCTAAAATACCAAATTCTCATGCTTGTTGATTCAAAATGTCTACCCATTGTCTAATAGACCGATTTGGTGATGGGCCTCACATGACATAACTTGGGTATTGGATGTAAACAATGGACTGGCACAGCGGTGTTTACATGGAGATTGCTATTGCGGCCGTCCTTTGTTATTGCTGTAAAGATCATCATATTTCCCAGCAAACTATACCAAATTGATTGGAAATTGAACTTTAGAATTTTGCCTGAAGGGTTTGTTAATGCTCCAAAAAAAAAATGCCCGCAAACATTAAGATTTTTAGAATATGTTAGGCCTAGGCCCCTGCACATCTACGACTTGCTCAGGTATGTACGAGAGTCTTTGACCCGTGAACTACGCTACGATTTTAAGGCTAGCTAAGGTTTACGAAGGATCATTTAAATTTCAAAGCATACAATGCTAGGAGAACGCTAGGATAAGTAAATAAACACTTCAATCGTATTGACTTTCCTTGGCATTTTTTTCTCACATTAACAGTGGGAGGTTGTTTTCTCGACCATACCATTACCTTTTCCTATACTTTCACACTGATTTGCACTGTAATGTTTTCCATGGTATACCCAAGTTATGCCACGTGACCAGCTGTAAACAAACATCGCCGAATCGTTCTACTGTATCTGTTGGTCCCATATCCATTTCAAATCTCTTTCGTAAATGTATTGCTTTAGAAGTAAAGTTGCTTGCAAGTCTGCAATAATGAATCTTCTTTATCCAATTTTTTTTTTATTCAGAACTTCAATTCCCAGAATCCATTCTGTGCCGGCATTCAAGGAATAATGAATGCATATCAGAACTGCATCCGTCAAGTGCAACTCTACGGGCCAACTAACTTTTCTCCTGTTATCAACCATGTTGCTAAGTAAGACTAACTTTTTTTTCATTAGTACAGGGGTCCCAAGTTGGAAGAACCTATTTCCAGGAGATTCGTTTAATGACATTGGGGTGCTATATATTCTATGAGGAAAATGTGATGACATTTTTTAGAGTAGGCATCTTTAGAAGCCCGGAAATGGCACTGTCAGACTGCAAAAAATAATCGGCAACCAAAGTTTCGGCCTAAATAAAAAGATTTGGGGTTTTTTTTACTGAATTTGCGGGAGATAAGTGAATTTCCTGGAGATTCTTGCTTGTTTGCGGGAGTGCGGGAGACCATGCCGATTTCTGCGAGACTCCCGGGTGTTCCGCGAAACTTGGGACCCCTGTTAGTATTTGAGAACGTACTGAGTATTCGGTACAACAACATGACAGGGCAAAACATCACTCCTATGATATTTTCCTGATGTAAACTCAGGATGATGATGTAAGCTTAAGGCATGAGTTGTATGATTATTAATATTTTGTTAGCCCCTGAATATGGTCAAATAATTTTTATTTTTTTATTTTCAATAATAGCTTGATTTTGAATTACTGTTTTGTTAAACAGTTACTTCCACTTGCAATGTTTCTTGCAGGTTTGCCGCAGCCTACCATGATGGTTCTAACTACTTTATCCTGTTGATTATTACGGACGGTGTCATTTCGGACATGGACCTCACCAAAGATGCCATCATAAGGGTAAAATTATGAATTTTATTTTCAATTTAATCATTTCTTATTACGTACAGTATTACAAAATTAACAAACTTCAATGAAAATATTAATATTATTTTCATTTGCTTTATTATTTTCTATTGGTCCTTTAAAGTGAATAATATTAATATTTACAATTGCTTATTACATTAATATTTACAATTGCTTATTGCTTGAATAACAGTAATCGTCATTATCTAACTGTGTATTGTTTTATTTATATATAATTTTAATTGTGTACCTTTAGGCTAGTGGTCTACCGATGTCCATTATCATAATTGGTGTTGGACCGGCAGAATTTGACGGTAAGTTTCACATTGTAGACTAGTGATGCATCGACATGCATCGTCATCAGTATTTTAACATGTTTAATTTTCTCTTCTGAGAATGAATAAAGATGAAGTAATTTATAATTTATTTCCCTGGGAACCCAAACTTTTGGGCTATATTTGTAAACAAAATTTTCCACTTGGTAACTAATGAGTTAAGAATCTTTACCGTTTGCTTTTTCTTTAGCCATGGAAGAACTTGATGCCGATAAAGGTCCTTTGCAAAACCATGGTAAGGTTGCTCAGAGGGATATTGTGCAGGTGAGTAGCAGTGTCATAGCTAGGAGTATTGAAATGGGGGATTGATGGGGGCAGCACAAAGGTGAAGTGAGAGAGCTCAATGATTAGGTGAGGAGGCACTAATAAGTTGATGTCAGGTGATTTTTAACTACATGAGCATGATTTCTTTGCTTCGAACATTTTCAATGGGGGAGGGCGGTGACTTGGGGAACCTAAGTATTTTTTGTAGGGGCGTGCACCTAACCCCTGCACCCGTAGATATGCCATTGGTGATTAAACCAATCATGTTTAAGATAAGATATAAGTGAAGATCAGGTATGTTGATCTTAACTTCCTTTTTGTTTGGATTCTGGCAAAACTCTTAAACTTGAGGGGATTAATTTTTACTAGATTATATTTGTACTTAGAAAAGACAAAAAAATTATTAAGTAAATGTCCAAAATGCTCAACTTCGTATCATAGGTATCTACATCACTTCAATGAAATTTATTGAATTCAGGAGAAAATAATTGATGATGATTTACAGGGGTTATTTTTATGTTTAATTACCAATTAACCTTCACAGTTTGTCCCATTTCGCGAATACATTGGTGGCGTTGCTAGTGGGAACCTTCTTCTGAGCCAGGCGAGACTAGCAAAGGATGTGTTAGCCGAAGTGCCAGACCAGTTTCTCTCCTACATGAAGAAACAAGGAATAAAACCGAATGCAGAGCCCCAACAGAACCAGTCGCTACAGGTACAGGCTACAATGTGAAATATTTCAGGGAAATGCAAAGATGAGTATCATATGATATGATGACCAGCTTGAGTTTTGTGCATCAGATCTTACCATTTCTGCAGATTTTCCAGATATACAGTAGTCTAAAGTTGTGACACAAGCACCTTCTACTTCAAAGTGGTATGAAAGAATTTAAGAATATAAAAAGTTGTTGCTGAAAGATGGCCAGTTACTGCATGAGCCATTTTATATGTGGTGTCATGAAATCTGTCTCTTGGAACCAAATAATAGCATCGTTTTATTAATTATCCTAATCCTTCATTCTTTGCAATTTGCTATTTTTATCATTCCATCTTTTGTGTGATATCTAGTATTGTGTGTGACATTTGTTGTAGACGGTTAAGTTATCATGTTTTTGCTTCCAAATGAAAATGACTTATACATGTTGACCAAAATTTAGATTTAGACCATTTATGAAATGTGCAGTACAGTTAAAAGTCCTTGCTATGACACTGATATTTTTAACCACAGTATTATATGCACCTATTTTGCTACAGCTGTCAAATGAACTTAAAGTAGGCGAAATCATAATTTAAAAAGTTCTATCTCGTGCCAAACATCTACAGCCTCAACAATGTTTGTAGCCACGAACAACAAAGCATTAACATTTTTGTAAGATTGCAAAACCTAAAAAAGTATATTTAACCTATAAAGTATATATTTAAGTGTAATTTGTTGTAATATGTATACCTAATGTATGTATATATTCTTAATTTTTAAATGGTAATGGGCATACAATCAAGCAGACATGCTTCCAAATCCAAAGAAATTATATGAATTGAATCTTGGAAAATTAGAAAAACTCACTGGGGTTAACACTCAAAAAAACTCTTTACCAGCTCTTGATATTCATTATACAAAGCACAACTCCAATGTGCTTCAAGGTGTTATTTTTATTTATCTACCTAGCTGTTACCTATCATTTACATCTGATATATCTACACTTCATTTTAAATTCCTGTGCTCAAAAACAATTTTGCAGACTTCCACACTTCTGCAGATCTCTACTAATGAAATTCAACACGATCTTCAGACCCAGGGGTCCCAAATCTTCTGGAAATCGGAACAGCCTCCCGCACTCCCGCAAATTTTGCATGTTCACTGTCGTACGTATTATCAATTCTCATGGAAGCATTGCTGATGAGTATCACTTTGTGCAGCAAAGTAAAATTAAATGTGTTAAGGAAGCTCATTAACCAGATAAGTGGCGCAGGACAGCCGGCCCAAGTCTCCTAATTATTTCAAAATGATTAAAATGAAAATGGAGTAGAAAATAATCAAATTTAAGAGTCACTTAGAGGTGCCATAATCATAAATTAATTGATAAACATTATCAATGGCGCGGGACAGCCAGCCAGAGTCTCCTAATTATTTCAAAATGATTAAAATGAAAATGGAGTAGAAAATAATCAAATTTAAGAGCCATTTAGAGGTGCCCTAATCATAAATTAATTAATAAACATTATACCTACGATCAAGTAAAGAAGAATTAAATTATATTCAATGCCTTGGATATTTATTTGTGACTATATTGTTAATCAAGGTTAAAGTCTTCTGAGAACATGATTATACCTTTTGACATTATTATGTCTAATACTAACATTTAATTAATTCAATTTAGTTTAAAACTAATTATCATATAACATTTGTTTTTTTGTTTTTTTATCTGTAAACTGTTCATTGAGACAAATGTTTTTATTTCTCTTTTCTACAGTAGGAGTCATAAATTATTATTCATTGGATTATATTAATGTATTATCAATATCTGTATATTTTGCAAGAGGATTTTTTAAAATGTATTTTGGTATTTTATATTGATCGTATTCTAAAATAGGTTTGTTGATATACCATACTAATAAGATCAACATTTATATTGTATTCTTTAAATTGTAATGGCTCTGTCTATATATATGAAATTTTTGTGTAGAACATAATGAAGTAATTAATTAATTTTTACTAGTAGAAGTAGATCTTTTTTATCAGTATTTTATTTTATATAATAATTAAAACAAATCAATATACAGATATGGATGGACTTTTTCAGCAGTTCTATCAAATTTAGCAACTGACCAATCAGAATTTGGCTACAGACACGCCCACAAGCGCACATGTTTACATACGTTGACCATGCCATTTTTGTAGATCTTAGTAACAATATCCAAGGGGCGTGTGTTAGTGGAAATTTCTAATCATACACATAAATTGTCATATTTTTTGTCTGTCAGACGTTGATAGTGTGCTTCTTGTAGAGATTATCTGATCAAACAATGATGCCTTTCCATGTCTGTTGAGATTAGAACAATGCTCTGCTTATTCAGGTAAAGTTTGAACGAACATGATAACAGTAAAAATATAAAGAAATGTTTGGAATCGATTGTAAAAGTGTATTGCCATGTCTGTTGGTAATAAGAATAATGCTCTAATTATTCGGACAGAGTTTGAACAAACATTGTAATAGTAAAAAATATAAAGGTTAAAGTAAATTGAAAGTATATTATATAATCAAAACTTCATTAGTGATTGAAGTCCTTCTTTAACGTTTCTGTTGTGACAATGGGTCTTTTGTGTTTCAGCAGTTCCTCTAAAATTCTCACAAGCAATCTTGTTTATAGGGTCGATAAACGCGATACATTTCATTAAGAGAATCGAAGAATGACAATGATATACGTGAAAAAAAAAGTAATGTTTAAATGGCCTGGTGTGTAGTTTCATCTAACCTCTTCACTTGCCCATTCTTGAATGGGTTCAGATTTCTGTGCTGTATATAAAGATTTATTCTGTTGTAGCTAATTATATTATTTTCAATTCTCTCCGTCATCTGAATCAAGACCACTTCCACTATGTTTCAGCTCCCCTCGTCTGATAGGATATCCCTCGGAGTTTTCTTTGAAAAAACGACTACATAGTGAATGGTTGGGCTGATACTACCCCATATCCGACCTAAAATAAACCAAAACTGGCAAGGAAGCGATTCAAAACATACCTTTTCTTAAGTAAAATCTACCTTAACAATTGACCAATCAGAAGGCCCAGGGAGACGCACAAGCTTCGCATACACACGTAACTCTACAATAGCTGTGAAAGTTTAATAAAAGATTGGAAAATAGAATAAGACGCACAAACAACAACTTAGGCCTATTTTCTAACGTAAATTTATTTAGGACAATACCCATAGCAAATTACAAAGTAGTTTTGTGATAATATAATAAATTTTGAACGTTAATGAAGAAGCAGAATCTGCAGCCGCCAGTGCGACAAAAAACGTTTATCCAACCAACACATTTAGTATCTCACCAGTGGCGCATAGGGTTGCGTCGTCCCTATTGAAAACTTACGAAGCCATCAATCATGCTCAAGTAGCGCCCAATATCTAATCACAGGATCCCCCACTTCAGTCTTCGCCACTCCCCTTCAGCCTCTTCAATAATCCAAGAAACGCAACTGTTGGCCTACATTGGAAATATAGCAACGAAATAGTATATGCGCCAAATAATATAACCTCCATAGGCATTTTAGCTATTGTTCCCATCACTGATCTCTACTATAATAGAGATCAATGGTGCCCATGCATGGTTAAGCCGGGGACTCACATGCGCACGACGGTAGTCGGCCGACGCGATTCTATAAAGAACGCAACGCGACGATGTGCGCGCAACGGATCGTTTTTAATGACGATCCGTTAAGACTACCACCGATAATCACCAGACGGCGTCGCGTCGTCTATCGCTCACGGAGGGCGGAGTTGAATTCGTCGTACGACGCAGTGAGTGCCCGGGTTTAACAATGCATGTTTAACGATTCAAATGTCTTTTTAACTTCGTTTTTGTAAAATTTGCAATTCAATGCAATAAACTGTTCAATCTAACTTTTAGTAGATTTTAATTCAATTTTAACCTGTAAAGTATTTTAAACGATTTGAAATTAGGATATTTGTAATTATTTTTATTTCTTACTTTCAACGGCTAATAATATGTCAACTTAATTCAATTATATATTATCTAAACGTTTCAATGTTCAAACTATTAAAAAATAATTACTTTATGTGTAATGTATAAATGCCTATAGGTCAACTCTTTAAGTATTTTGCAATATATAATTATACCGTAACTATATTTATGTTTTAATGCGCCTGTTACTTATATTTTCTATTTGTATGAGCTTTTTCAAAGCAACAAATTTCCTTTTGGACAAATTAAGTTTTCATTGTCCAGTAAATTGTGTTCGCACAAAACACTCCGGGCTCAACAGCTAAGCCTATGTACTTATTAACAGGCAATGGTATCGTCACATGACCCCGTTGCACTGTTGAACCCTAATCCAGAGTAGCACAGATGAACCGTTTCTGTACCATCACTGTTGCACTGGTAGAATTTGTCGCAAAAATTCGGGTGAGGGTAGAAGCCGGCAGTTTTACCAGTGCAGAATTGTGCCGCTGTCTGAGCCACAACAGCACCTGTGCACGCGGAGTATTGTGCCGCAGTACAAATGAGTTGGTTCGAATCAAAGGCCTCGTTAGCTGGGCAGGTGTAGTGTCTTGGTATCCCGTCATCGCAGTTGTAGTACATCAGGCAGTTGTTGGGATCGGCGTGAAACCCACCAGGCTTGCCATAGCAAAACGGGTCAACGTTTTGTGGTTCTGATAACATAACATAAAAAGTAATTAAATAAAAACTGGGTTTAACGTTCATTCATTATACAAAGAAAATTAAAAGGCAGCACTCTGAGACTAACTTGGATGTTATTTATTCAACACGAGCTTTCGCTGGCAGTCAATGCCAAATAACATCCAAGTTAGTCTCAGAGTGCTGCCTTTTAATTTTCTTTGTATATACATTATATTTCGTCTGAACCGGCGGGGAAACTATATAGATAATATTTTAATTTTAAATTTATGGCACATGCAAGATGTTATATTTTTTCTTATTCACTTTTTGAAATACACAAAAAGGATACATAAAAACCTATAGGCCTATTATACAATAATGTCCGCAAAACAGTAAACTGGTTGTTACAAGAAAGTACGCACATATCTATTTTTGAAGTTAAACATACATTTAAACATAAGCTTATCTTAATAGTTTCATTTACCAATGAAGACAGTATATTTTGAGGGCCGGTCTTATTTGCTTTTTAATAATCCTATATGTTCGGGTGACCTCATTTAAACATTTTATTTGGACACTACGACCGCTTTGTAAATACCAAGTTTGGGTAATATCTTCGCACACAATTTTTCTTCAATAATCAACACCAGCTTGCCAATGACTCAATTTAACTCAATGTTGTAGTTAGTGTGATTAAGCCTAAGTTTGTTCAATCTTTGTTCTAATCAGCATGTAACCACTCAATTAAAATGCTAAGGAGACTAAACAACAAATTATCATAATATAATATATATAATATAACACAATAATTATTATATGCATGACAGCTACACAACTTAACGAGAAAAAAACATATCAGATGTAGATACTATAGCAATATGTGTTGTAAAATCTCAATTCACTTACCAACTTCCAATACGTTCAACAGAAAGACTAGAGCAATCACTCGCAATGTGTAATCGACAAACATCTTGGCTTCGATTCGATTTGCTGAGACGATAATATTGATTGATGTGTTGTCGATAGAGGTCTTCTGGAAATTGTAGAAAGTAAAAGTTTTGCGCTTCTTTTTATAATGTTCACCTCCCAAAACCTTGACCAAGGGACTAAATCTTTCCTCAATTGAAAGATCCGGGACAACTAAAACAAACTTTGTAAGCATCCATGGGAATTTTTTTTTACCGAACATTCATCAAAAGACCATGACAATGCTAAATATGAATTAGTCTAATGGTCTAACTATAAGCCTATAAACCTAAACTGACATTGAAAATAAATCCGTAGCTAGCTTCTATAAATGATTAGGTTACGAAATACAACTTACTTAGGCCATGCTTAGGTCTACCTTCTTACTAGTAGTCACGGTTCCGCATACTGACTGCTAGCTCATTTTGTCTCTGCTTTTCTAATACAAAAGTACATTAAACATTTATTTATTTATTCTATTTTACTACAAGATAGAGATGGTTGTAAATTAAAATGAACTCCTATTCCCATTTACATTCACTGCCATTTACATATTTTGAAAAAAATCGATATTATTTAGCTTGGTTCTTAACAACTGTCACAGGTGACATATAATTTTAGATGTTTAATTAATTTGTTGTCATTATTAACGAACGGGTTTGCTACTAATAAAGATAAGGAGAAGTTACGTTATATCCAGGGTTGTGCTGAGTATGCAAATGAGTGAAATTGTGCAGGTCAATTTGCTGATGAATATCAGGGCTGTGTTAAACATTTAAACCAGGTAAGAGAAATGTTGAATTGGGTGTGATTTTTTTTTTTTTTTTTTTGGGGGGGGGGCTTGTTTTTTTGTTGTGTGCAAGATAGAGGACGATGTCCGAAATTTTGAGAATACAGATAGAATTGTGCACACAGCCTACAGATATCAATTGCCATATAATATGTGTATTTTGAGCATTGAATGTTGCAAATAGGCAGGGAACCGGGATTGACGACTACTACATAAGGAAAATAGCATATTGAGAATGCAAATTGGTGAGCTCAACACTAAACTGATACGAGGTGGCGGTTGCAACTAAAACAACGGACCTAAACGAGTTACGGTACCTGCATGGTGGAAACCAGAAATTTTACACATACTCCTGATACATGAGTTACAGTGAACATATTATTGAGTTAAACATTGAATTTTGTGAACGTGAGATACGTAACAAAAATAACGAGAAGTTGAAGTATGTCCGTATATGCGAGTTACCTCACGGTGCAGAAAACGTACGGAAGTGAAATGCATTATTTTGAATTGGAATGGTGAACTCTACCAGCTAATAACGGAGTGAATAAAAGTGAACTTATTATTCTATTTTATAACGTAATATTTGATGGAAGAGCTGTACTGATAAGTTGTATTGTTAAAGAATTAATGTGTAACTACTACTACTTGTTAACTACTACTTGTTAATTACGGTAGTATTTGTTTGAGATGATTAGAAAACGTATAATAATAGTGGTGAAATTCCATGATGAAAGTTAATATGAGTGATGAATTTCGATGATGACAGTTAATATTAGTGATGAAATTCCATGATGACAGTTAATATTAGTGATAAAGAGTGAGGTTCTTTTTTTAATTTAACAGAAAATTGAAATGATAGGATATAGCTACACATACAAAACCGTGATGAGCAATAAGTGATGCTAACGAAGTGATTATTCTTTATATTATATCAGCCTAGATAGTGAGGCAATGGTGAGTGAAAAACGTGGAGTTAAATTATAGATGCATTTTTCATATTTCATTAACGGTTTGTATTTGAAGAAATGAAACATGGTGGTTTTTTTAGATAGGGAATTTTTTATTTTTATTTTGATATGCATGCGAACTTGATTCCCCAACGTAAAGTTGGTGGGTGCACCTACTTTGTAATAAATAAGTAAGTATTTGATAATTATTTGTTTGATGATTCTTTGTGTCTCCTGTAAATACATGTTCGGACCTTTTGTCAGACGGGTTCACAGAGGCCGTGTGACAACAACAATAATTAAAATAACACAATTGAAAAGATTCAAGATAATTGAAACATATGAAATATAACTAGGCCTATTTATAAAGCGGTAAAGTGACAATATGATCGTTGCGCGGGATGAAGATACTGGATTTTATAATAAGAAAGAGCACGGAAAACGGAACATGATAGGCCTAAACAATTTCCAATAATTGTCTCATGAAATTTGAAATTGGCACACAATATGAAAAGTCCCAGGAGATTAAAATGCCAATATCAAAGTCACTCACTAATAACATTAAACATTTGATCAATTGAAGTTAATAAATATTTAGCCTTTCGTTTACATATCGAGCGAAGTCTGCGACAGACCCTCAGTCCCTGTTAAACCATGGTGGTATCTAGTAATACTAATACTATAATATCTCTATGGTTGAACATACAGACAGGCCTACCCTTCTTTTAAACTTTTCCACCTATTTCTGTCTGATGTTTATAATCACGTAAGCTTGTGTTTCGGATAGTAAATTTAGGCTAATGTATTAATATCCAGAATCAACTGAGTCAATTAAATCACTGGTTTTACTTTTGCATTGATTCAAATACAAGGCCCATACAAACGGCTGAATAGATTAAGTTCAGGCTGACCATGGGCTCGCAGGGGCGGATCCAGTCCGGTAAGAAAGTTAGGGCGTGAATGTCCGAACTGAGTGCAAGGGTAGATTCCCCCTTAAACCTCCAGCACCTTCATTGATTTGAGTTGATATTTGATTGATTCTTAATATTTAGCATAATAATTAGCGTAGTAGTAGGTAGTAGTAGTACAGCAGTAGGCCCTAGTAGCAGCAGCAGCAGCAGTAGTAGTATTTCAGTGGCATATTCAAGAGGCCCACCCTCCATACTTTGTTCAACATTTAAAAGGGGAAAAAAAGAAAATTATATTTAAATTTAAATTTGAGAGGGCCATAATCATAAATTGTCATACCTCAGCCCCAACCATGGTGGGGCTCATGTGGTCTACACTCCATCTGTAAAAGCCCCTCAGTGGGCCCCTCTATTTCGAATTCCCGCCAGTGTATTTTGAAAATATAGTATATAAATGTTAATTGCATTCCATAAAATCAATTAGATACGACTTGCAAAAGGCTATAGACGCCAGCTTCCTGGACCTTTGTCCCCTTGAACCCCACCGGGGCCCTAGGCGGCCCTCCCCCCCCCCAGCCAAGGCTTGGCCTACGGCCCAAGACTTCCTTATTTTGCAATCCCCACCACCACCCCACACTTTCAACCACGGATCGACGCCCTCTCTTGTTTTATGTACCGGTACTCTTTGTTGATACACACGGTCATATTATGTTTGTCTGTCAGACGTTGATAGTGTGCTTCTTGTAGAGATGACCTTATCAAACAAAAAAGTGTCTTTCCATGTCTGTTGCAAATGAGAACAACGCTCTATTCATTCTGGTAAAGTTTGAACAAACATTGTAATAATAATAAAGAATATAGTAAAATAATAGTGTATTATATAATCCAAACTTCGTTAATGATTGAAGTCCTTTTTTAACGTTTCTGTTGTGACAGTGGAACTTTCGTGTTTCAGCAGTTCCACTGCTATCTTTAGTGTATTTGAAATTATCATAGGCAATCTTGCTTATAAGGTCGATAAACGCGATACATTCATCGAGTAAAAGAATCGAAGCGAAGAATGGCATGAGTATACATGAGGAAAAAACAATAAGTAGTGATTAATGGCTCGGTGTGTACCGGTAGTCGTCATCTAACTTCTCCACTTGGCCATTTTTGAAAGGATTCAGGTTTTAGAGCTATATAAAAAGACTTGGTTTGTTGGAGCTTTAAATATTGTTATTTTCAATTCTCTCTTCTTCATAACTATCGATATGAATAAAGACCACTTCCACTAGACAAAAAAATAAATTGTGTTGGCCACATTTTGGGAAAATCCAAAAAATGGGTAGGTTGGTAAGATTTTTTTTTTTTTTTTACACCAAAAATGTGTTTACTATACGCTTAAAAAATAGAAAAAAAAACCCACAAATAATACAATTTTGGATTCGCATACCATGCACCAAAATAGGCTAAGCCTTGCCCCCCCCCTATCCTAGTAATGAAAAAAAATTATTGTTCCTTGTAGTAAAAAAAAAAAGCTGAAATTCTGACCCTGAATTTCGTAAAATTTGGGTCGGTAGGGCGTAGCCAACACAACGTTTTTTTTTTTTTTTATTTTGGCCCAATGTGAAAACCCTTTCGTCGAATAGGATATCATTTGGTGTTTACATTGAAATAACGACTACATGGGAATGGTGGGGCCGAGGCTACCGTCCATATTCGACCACAATAAACTGACAATGATGCGATTCGAAACATGCTCTATAATGGACCTTCCTGACTATAATCTAACTTAACAATTGACCAACCACCATGGCCAGGAAATACGCACATATCTCACATACACACGTAACTCAATAGCTGTGGAAGTTTAATGGAGAAATTGTAGAATAGAATAAGACACACAAACAACTTAGGCCTATTTTCTAATGTAAATTTATTTATGACAATACTCATATATATATATAAATAGCATATTTAATTTTGAACGTTAAAGAAGCAGAATCTGCGATCACGAGTGTGACAAAAAACATTGACACAACCAACACATTTACTAGCCTATATTAGAGATAAAGCAACATAATTTATATGCGCCAAATAACCTTCCAAGCCTTTTGACTATTGCGCCCATACATGATTAAAAATAAGTGTTACGATTCGAATTATAAATATCCTTTCAACTTCTTCTTTTTCTTTTTCTTTTTTTTTTTTTTTTTTTTTTTTTTTTTTTGGCAAAATATTGTTCTCGCACAAAACATCTTGGACTCAAATAGGTGACCTACTTTCAAAACATAATGAAGGATAGCTTGTCCTGCTTTTGGTGGCATGTTTAAAAGCTAAGCTTATTTATTAACAGTTACTAGTACTTTCAGCGTCACATGACTCAGTTTGACTGTTGTAAGCTAACCCTGAGTAACACAGATGAACTGTTTCTACACCGTTGTAACACTGGTAGAATTTGTCACA